AGCTCTTGTCAGTAATGATACGAGACCTTTTCTGATCTTGCTTAGATGAAGGGCTAACCGGTACAGATGCATTGACAAGTTCCAAGTTACTACCCATGGTTGACGGTAGGGCCAGAAGTGCGCCCTCCTTCTGCTCCCCCGCTGATCTCTTCCTGTTCTCCTCTCCCTCATCCATGACTGTATCAGGGTAACCATTGCTAGGATAACGGGCCTCGTCATCATCAGGGTACTCAGAAGTCCTGCCACGACCAGCTCGGCCACCACGCCGTCCACCGCGGCGTCCTCTTCCACGTCCAGGTCCAGCCCCTACCCTCATATTCCATGCAGCCTTTAGATCCTTGAAAAACAGCACAGAGGGAGGATGTATGCCATCGCCATGTTCTTTATAAACATGACCTAAGTGTCCACAAACGGCACACCAGTCCGGGAGGCGTTCATATTTGACTCGATAAATCTGGCGTTTTCCGTCGCAGATCATCGTCACAGCGTTCTTCAAGGGCTTGTTCACATTGATCTTGACCCAGACTCGATAAAAATTTCCAGCAAAATCCTGAGTCACGTTTTCTGTGAACAACACCTCTCCAACTTTAGCCGCAATCGGCGTCACCAGATGAGCATACAGGTCCGGGACGTCATGAATCTGAATCCAGATGTCCAGACTATCCAGCACTACTTCTGTCGGCTTGGTTATTCCATCATAGGGCGTGATAATGACGGTGTTTCCTCTGAAGGTCCACGGCCCCTCTTGCATAACACTCTCCCAATCACCAAGGCAGAAAAACTGGATTGTGTACAGATTATCCTCTAAAGGCCGGAATTTCACCTCATGCGCCAGATCCCAAGCGGCCTGCATGTTCTTAAAGAACCAGTACTGGCTGTAGGGTTTATCGATGTGAACCCTAGCAACAGCCATCCATCTTGTCGCATCCGGTGGTGTCGCCTTCTCGTCGAAGACTACATCATCCAAATCTTCTTCCCGAAGGCCTAGTTCGGCCATCATCTTCTCAACTTCAGAGGCGGAGGTGGAACTCGATGCCCCAGAAGCCTTCGATCCCATCGCCGCTGAAAACCTGAAACCCTAGCCCGAGAAAAACGAATCGGGCTTTTGAAGCTGACCCTAACTCTCCAAATCAATCGCCAGATGACACGCCAAGGCCGGGAAGTGATGCTAGATCACCCCTTAATCAGCCCGAGCCGTGAAAATCCGGGTGGAATCGGAGGTGGGAAGGTAAGAGCTCGACGGCGGCTGGATCGCCACCGGAATAAATGCTTGATGGTTCTCTTGCTCAATGATTCCCCGCTAAGTTTTCACTGTCCAACGCACACCTTCACCCGTGTGAGTCCATTAGCACCGGGCACATAAGACCACTGACAGAAAAGGCCCACCAAAACCCAACATGAAAGAAAGGAACCACAACTCATTGTTTCCCTAGGCGCCAACACACAAAGAGAAAAACTTCATGTGAAATTCATGTGGCACAACAGGGGCAGTGAAGCGTGCCTCGTCCTTCTAGTCTCATTTCTTCTAGAAGAATCTTTCTCATGCTTATTTGATTCTCTAATAAAAAAAATGAGACAAAGAAAATTCCGAATTCTAGAAGTGTGAGAACCAAGTTGGCGTAGAGTTGTATCTTGCCCAATATGATTCGCGAGGAAGGAAATGAATATCTTATTTTAAATTTACTAGCCCCTATATTTATATGAATAACCTAGAATATGGATTGTTGGATGAACTATATCCAATGGCTGAGAGGTGGCAAATTCAGGTGTTGATGACCATTCGATTTCCTATTCATTGCATCATATTCTGCAATATGTACTATTTAGAATTTTTAAACTGTTAAACATAGCACATCCATTCTAATGGGTGATGTAATTGCCACATGTACTATCTCGGCACACTTGTCCTTTATTCTAGACTCTTTCATGCATACTCTTGCTCCAATAGTTTTCTCTTTAATTTGGAGTTGCCATTTGTGAGATTACCTTCTGAAATTTTGTTCAAGGTGGAACACTTATGATCACGACTTCTTAAACTCTATGATTTCTAGATAATTTCTGCCAAACGCCCCAACCCTAGCAATCTTATGGGGCATCCTGCACTAACTACGCATGTTCATTTAATTTTATTCTTGTGGTCCATACATACAATGTATTATATACGCGTGCAACTTGGAGCACTATACGGCTACAATTTTTTTACTCCCTCTGTCTCCCAAAAGAAGGCCTATAAATTTTGTCTAAAGTCAAACGTTGCAGAGTTTGATCAAGTTTGTAAGAAAAACTATTAATGATTATAACACTAAATAGATACTCCCTCTGTCCTATAATGTAGGACGTTTTTTGATACTAATATAGTGTCACATCTTACATTATGGGACGGAGGGAGTATAATCTCAAAATATATTGTATTGGTATATAATGTGCTAATTTGCATTGCAATTGTTGGTATTATTTTCAACAAAAAAACTATTATCATTGTCCAAGCTTATGGGTTCTATTTCTTCACGGTCTTTACTTTCAGTATTTTCTCAGTGTTGTGAAGAACTTCCCATATCTACTTTCTCTGTGATTGTTGTGAAGACTTTGCTGAGAACTATCTTATTCTGATGCATGCTGTGTAGCTTTCTTCTCTGTCTTGCTGTACTAAAGGCTATCTATTTGTTTGTCAGGCTTGCTTACTTGTACTGCTACTTAGTTATTCTTCTATCTAGCATATGTTATTGTCTTTGACTCAGTACTTCTAGCCAATTATCCCTCTGAGTCATTTGCTGTCTGTTCTAGTTATTCTTTAGTTCAACATCATTTCTATTAGTATTACTAGACTATTTGATTCATAAAATCTTTTCTTTCGAATAATTTGTCATATATACCATTCACCCCCATATGGTAGATATTTGATGCTACAAAATGTGTGAACACATTTTTTCAGTTAGATGAAACATTTTTCAAATATATGACGATTTTTTAATGCGTGGACATTTTTAATACATAGTGAGCATTTTATCAAAATATACTAAAAAAGTTTAATAGCGACTAAAAGTTTTTTATATACACTACACGGTGAACAATTAAAATACATAATGAACTTTCTCAGTACAACAAACTATTTTTGTAATACATGATGAATTTTTTAAGTGAAAATTTAAAAACAAATGATGAATATGTTTTAATACACAATGAATATTTCTAAGAAAACACTACAATTTTTTTAAAATACAGGATTAGCTTTTTTTATACATGATGACCATTTTTAATCCAAGATGACATATTTTTAAAATACACGACACTTTTTAAAGACACACTTAAAAACATTATTAGTACACTATGAATATTTTTGAATTATATGATTAACAAAAAACAACTCTTGATGGGTGATTTCGGTTTGCTGCAATGCTAAACTAGGGCCACAGGAAAAGCTAGGCGCTCTCTTTCCTCTTCCCAGGCAATCATGTTTCCTTCTCCTGTCGGTGGCGGCACTTGTCCGCCGCGCCTCCAAAGGAATTTGGGCCTTGGAGGACCTTGGGCCCCCATCGGCGGGAGAGACCCTGCTCTCGTTCTTATTAGGGTTTAGCGTCTTAGTTGGGACTGTGTGGTGACAACGAAGTCCCTCGGTAGGATAATGCTTCCTACATTCAATCCCATCCTGATGGTGTGTCTAGTGTTGCCGGAGGGCGTGTGGAGGTGCGTTTTCATCGGATCTCGTGGAATCAAATTGGTGTTGATTTTTGTTGGATCTGTTAGGATCCTGTCATTGTTCTTCTTTGTTTGTTCTTCACATGTTTAATCCTCCCGATCTATGACTTTCTTAATTTACGATGATTGTTTCTTTGGTGTGTTGATTCTATGGGGCACTAGCATGGCGACTTTTTGATTGTCTACTACAATAAGGTTTTGCCTGGATCCGATGAGGGAGAGACGTTGAGAACGGCGCGCCTTCGACACATTCAGTACGTGTAGTTGTCGCTAGGTGATCACTGGACCTAGTTGTTATTTTTGTTACCTCTGGTGTTCTGTGTATTGCCGTAATTAATTATGAATAGATCGGAAGTTTCATGCTCTTTAAAAAAGGCAAAATGAAAGAAAAAAAGAAATAAGAAAAAGGAAAAAAACAGACAAAGAGAAACACAAAATAAAATGAAAATAAACTCAACAAAAAGACCAAGGCAAACCAAAAAGAAAAGGCCCACACATTGTGATACCGGAAAGAAAATCGCCCCAACATGCGTTTCGGACCCACGCACACATTGTAGGTTTGGTGTCCAGGACCTTGTGTATTTTAGATTTATATTCTTGCATATTCATTTATATGGATCAAATGAGTTTGTGTTGGTGTTTTTTGTTGCTTTTGTTGATGCGATTGGTTCTAACTTTGGAGTCATGCTTTGATGTTCTATTGAAGATTTTGTGGTTCAACGACCTTTACTGTTAGGTGGTTATCCACAGCCCAAGTACGTCTTCTTATTCTTTATCATGCATGAGATAAGAGATTTTTTTGAAGCCTATGAAGATAGTCAAGTTCGTGTAGGTATACGGGTGGCGGTGTCGTTATTCCGATTTGGCTGCGGTCTTTCTACCGAAGTCTTGACAGTATTTCATGTTGCAAAGATTGATACCACAAAGAAGACGATTCTTAAAATCTCAATGTGATTCCCAGTTATAGGAATTATTTTGTAATTTTCTGGATCTGTCATCCAAAGCATTGTATCTATAATTTTGTTGAGTACGAATACAGTTAAGTCATTCTAAAAAAATCAAAGAAAAATCATCATACAAAAAAAAAGACAACCAAGGTAATGACAATTCAGAGATATGAAAAATAGCAAAAACTATAATAAACATGAGAAATAATTTCTCGGCCAAGAGCCCCAGTTTTCCTTTATTTTGAGTTTGAGTCCCATTTTATGTTTATTCAATTATCAACAACCAATAAATATGTCATCTAATTTAATTCCAGTCCCACAAAGTCAGCACTGCACCATCATGACTACTGTAGGTAGCTAGAAAAGTTCCCCGGCAAAATTCCTAATGTCCTCGTCCCTGAACGACGGTGAGGCCATCCCCTTGAACTGCCTGAGGTCAGACGGGCTCCGGCCAAGCTGCAGCGCCACTTTGGTCTCAAACAATTCGCCGTTCTCCCTCCGCTCCACGTTGGCTTCGTTGAGGTTGTCCTCGATGTCGTCCTGGATCTTTCGGTACAACCCCGTGACGTTGCGGCACAGCTCGAACACCATGCCCACCTGCCCGCCGTGCTCCACCGTATTCACCGCCGCGGCCAGAGTGCCGCCGAGGATCGCCGCCCCGGACGCCCAAGACGTCCCGGCATCGCCGGACCCGATGAACGCTGCGGCGATCGCTGCTGTGCCGGCCAGCGCCGGGCCGGCAACCGCGAGGACTCTGTTAAGTTTCAGCACCACCTTACCGAACGACAGGTACTCCTGCTCGTCCTTGGCCTTGAGCACCCGTGCGATGCCTCTCATCTCTTCTTCCAGTTCTTGTGTCCAGCCGTTGTCGCCGGCCATGGAAGCTCGCCGGGCGCCATGCCTGGTGTTGGACGACATCTTCTTGCAGGCGCTGTGACGAGCCGGGTTCTTCTTCGGCCACCAGCGTGCGGGCTCGACGGTGTTGGGGAACTTCTCCAGCATGCCGGGGAGCAGCGGAAGCGGGTAGGCGGCGTCGAGCGCGAGCACCCGGTCCATGGCCTCCTGGAAGAAGTCATCCTTGGTCGCGGACGATGCGCCGAGCGCGAGCGTTGCGCGGACGTCGCGCTCGAGCTGCCGCCACAGCCTCGTGGCGTTGCGCTGCTCCTCAGCGAGCTGCGAGGGCTGGATCTTGTTGACCGCCGCCATCGTGACGGCCGCCGATGCCAGGAGCACCCCCGTGGACGCCTTGAGCGCGAGCAGGCTCGTCGACGCCGGCGCGAGCGCGGCCATGACGCAGGCGGCGAGCGTGAGGGAGTTGGTGGAGTGGAGCAGCAGGTGGTTCCAGTTGTCCCTCTGCCGGCCGATGATGTCGTGCATCTGGACCCGGTCCGCCGCCGCCTCCGCGACTGCGCGGAGCTTCCCCACCTCCGTGGCGCCGTCATCTCCCGTTCCGATCACGACGCGGTCCTCGGCGCCCGCAACGGGGTCTACCCGGGCGAGCGTAAGCTCGTCGATGCTGCTCACCAGCTGCCGCTGGTCGGACGTGGTGGTACTAGTGCTGTTACCTCCGACGCCGCGCAGGTTCGCCCGGCAGCACAACCCGCTCCGGCCACGCGACCGCGACTTGGCCGGCAGTACGAGGCTGCTGCCGGCCAGCTGCCGCACGACACTTGCCATCTGCGCCCTGTCACGTAGTCTGTCCCAGTGACACGCAACTCTGCCCCTTTTGATGTCCACTCTGATGATGCGTGCTCGTTCCTCTCCATGCTCGTGTGAGGTGTGCTTATATAGTTGGTGATCGCGCGCGCGAGAGAGGACATGATCAGGGGGACAGGAGCCGAGGAGGAGAGTCTTGTTGACGAGGGCGAACGGTCACGCTTGGCTGGGGTCGGTCGACAAACGCGCCATCAGGCTCTTCAAATCTGGAATAGTTTTGGGTGCTGGCTGGGTCTACTCGATTGGATTGAATACAAGAAACAAGAATGACTCCAGGCAGAGGTAGTCCACCAACTTGCTTGTCTTGCCCATTACCATGACCGGGCCCGGGCTTGGCAGGCTATGTGTGTTCCAGTCATGCCACATCACCAGGTATATGAGATTTTTTTTTTTGAAAAGTACAAACTTATTGCCCAGTTCAGAGGATCGACTCGAATACTACTTCCTCTAGTTAATGACATTTTGGAGAGTGACGTGTTATTCAAAGCACAAACCCTTTTTTCTAAATATATTTTCATTTTCTTTCAGAAATACTCCCTCCGTTACTAAATGTAAGGCGTTCTAGTAGTACCAAATACTCCCCCATTCGTAAATATAAGATGTTTTGAATATTTTAATATGAACTGCATACGGATCGAAATGAGTGAACAAACACAATAAAACGTGCCTATACACATTCGATTTAGAAAAAGGTTAGAACAACTTACATTTATGAACGGAGAGACTACAACACACACATACACCATTGCACGGACACACTCACGCCGTCACGCGGTGGCTACTGAAGAAAATGAAAACTACAGAAATATGCGAAATTTCTGAAGTTCTTTCAGATTTCTATCTATCTATCTATCAAATCGACTTAATCTGAAGTTTTCGGAGCTTGGAGGAATGCTTTTGAACATGAAATAATTGCGAGTGTGCCAAACGGCCCATGAGATGAAGGTGGTCAATTCAAGAAAGAAGGTAACTCATGATCTTTCACCTGATTGATTTCCTCCTGGACACCATGGTGCCCTGGCTCCCAAGTAGGGCAAAGATAATTCAAACATGTTTGTGAAAACTCACAATAGACTTGTTTCACACACATGCAAAACAAACATACCACAAATGTTTATGCAGAAGGGCTCTGATGTTTAGTCTATTGTGGACTGTGGAGCAACCATGAAATAATTGCGCTTAAGGTGACAACATGTTTTCCAAAGCCACTTGATGGCAGGTATGGCTATATGCTCACCATGCATAATTTTGTACGCCTAAGAAACTTTATACATGGTAGCTCCCGGACGATATTGCCAAACACCCCGATCAATTGGTGAACTGAATAACAACCAACATATTGTTTGTTTCCTATAATTGGGCAAAAGCTTCTTCAGAAAGAGGCATATGTAAAGACCAGACATACCATCCATGTTGCATGCTTCTTAGGGTAGAGGAATATTAGAATCATGGGTAAAAGAGTGAAGATGTGGCCTCCTCTTAGTTTGTCCCTCCATTCCAGGTGTTTTCCTAGAAAAGAACTTTCTGGCCATTTTGAACAGAGCAAGCAATATACAAGTGCAAAAGTTTGAGGTGATCCCTCCACCAGAAGTAACAACTAGCAGTTTGCCCCCGTGGTAATCCATGTTGGTAACATGCTTCCCAAACCAGGTGAAAGATGGTGATTAAGAAATATGTGCACCATTTGTAGGAGCTTGGAGAAATGCTTTTGCTTGGGGGAGTGCTTTTGAACATGAACCATTGCAAGTGTTCGAAATGGCCCATGAAATCCAGGTGGTCAATTCAAGATAGAAGGGAACTCATGATCTTTCACCAAATTGATTTACTATTGGACGCCATTTTAAGGTTACAGTTATTTTTTACCCATCGAAATTTCAAAAAAAAAGTCATTGAAATTTTGTTACCCAAGTGCTTCAACATCCTAGCACGGTTTCCACGCGTGAGCGTACATAATTAAGGCGTTCACCATCTCATTTTCGATCCAATGATCGACCATATTGTGTATTTAATTAGGAGATCCTTAACCATAATGGAAGCCCTTTGGGCTGAATATAACTGTATGCTTGATCGCGATCCGTAACTTTTGTTCCCATCTTCCTACGAGAATTTTTGTAACACACCCTCCCTCTAAATATCCTTGTTGACTTAGGTCACATGCATGTATGTGAAACTTTTCATATCAATAGTGCAATGTGTGTACGAGAAAACAATACTATATTGATATTTGAATGAAGCACACAAAGAACGAACGCATGCTTAGCTCACATAGGGAAAGCAGCCTAAAACTGTGCCTCAAACGTGAAACCTGCCTAAATCGTGCCTTATATTGGCCGGATCGGCAATTTTCTTGAAAACGAGAAGTCAAGCCATTTTCAACCTAAATCTAGGAGGATTTATAGGTTTTTTATAACTGAAGTGGGCGGATTCTCACGCTTGGCTCATTGCATGGCCTAAAACTAGGGAGGCTCAACTGCATCCATGGACGCCCAGTCTAGGAAATCTTCTATGAGGTTGGTCGGTGCCAATTTATGACGAAACCCATGGGATATAAAATTATAAGGAAAATGGCCTACTTCATTTTTGGCTAAATAGTAGAGTTCAGAATTTTAATGAAAAAACCCGGGTTTTCTTGTTTCAAGAGGAAGGCCAGACTACCAGAATTTTTATTAGCATCACAATGATATAAAGCTCTTTTTAAGGAAAGCCATCATGACAACTTTATTCAGAAGTCATAGCTTTTGGCCAATTTTTTTGTTAGCATAACAATGGTATACCTAAGATTACAAATAAGAAACATACAAAATGAAAACAAGTGAGTGGTGAATTTTTCTTTGTATTCAAACGATTTCTAACCAATTTGTTTTCTCAAGTGAGTTCATCCCCCTATATATATATATCCAACAAAGATTTCTAAAAGCCAGATACTACTCCCATCTTTCTCCATCTTATTTTTTTGAACATCAGTACAGACACAAGCGCTCATATACACGCGCATACCCTCACCCCTATGAACGCGCACACGCACACCCTACCCCTATGAGTCCCCCCGAAAGACTGAGCCGGCATATCATCTTGAAATTTATAAAGTCACCTAGGCACCTCGTCGTCGATGGAACGTCTCCTCCCACTGAATGCGCATCGCCAGAAATCCTGAAATAAATCCAGGAATAAATACAAGCATCAGGATTTGAACCCTGGTGGGCTGGGGATAGCACAGTCCCTCTAACCATCCAACCACAGGTTGGTTTGCCTTTCTCCATCTTATTTACATGCATAGAACTGAATAACAAGCAACATATTGTTTATTTCCTTTAATTGGACAAAAGCTTCTTCAGAAAGAGGCATTAAGGAAAGGCCAGACATATCGTCCATGTTGCATGCTTCTTCAGGTAGAGGAATATTAGAATCACGGCCAAAAGAGTGAAGATGTGACCAATCCTCTTATTTTGTCCCTCTATTCTAGGTGTTTTCCTAGAAAAGAATTTTCTGGCCATTTTGAACAGAGCAAGCGACATAGCTTTTATACAACTGTAGAAGTTTGAGGTGGTCCCTCCACCAAAAGGAACAACTAGCAGTTTGACCTGGTGGTTGCCCATGCTGGTAATATGCTTCCCAAACTAGGTGAACCACACAGATGCCATGGTGATTAAGAAATTTGTGCACCCTTTTTAGGAAAACTCTATCATTTTAATTTAAAGATTTATAATTCCTAATAGTCCCTGGATTTTAGGCCAAAAAACCAGATTCCAAGCAGCAAGAGGGGGATTTCTTCTTTTTTAGAATTTTACCTCTCCAAAGAGCAATGCCTTCAATATTTGTAAATTGGCATAATGATACCCTTATGAAATTGCAACCAATTTGTGATAAAGGTAGGCAGATAGGATGAGACCACACAATTATGAGCAACCTGCCATCATTGCTCATATATTGTGAGAAATGTAGTATCTTCCAAATTCTCACAATTATAGACATGTAATTCTCTATCTTGTCCTTTGTAATGCAAAGAAGAAGAAAAAACTGAAGTTCTTTCATACTTCTATCTATCAAAATCCAGTTAATTTGAAAGAATTTTGACCTAATTTAAACTTGGTCGGAAAATTGTATGAATCTAGTTCGATATTTTGAGGTTACAATCATTTCGTTACTCATCAAAATTTCAAAAAAACATTGAAATTTGAACCTTTTGACTCTCTCTTTTATCTAAAACTTCTCCGCACTAATGACATTAATTGCTGAGATTCCTTTGGTGTGGCCGCCCCGCGGTCTTGGCAGGCGAGAAAACCCCAATGGACCTGAATGCAGGTCCTCCGATTCAGGTAAATATCAAGTTGAAATTCAAAAACACAAAAGTTGAATTTCAAAAAACAAAAATTGAAATTCAAACCTTGATGAAAACTTTCTTTTATCTATAACTTTGACCATTAGTTTTTGTAGGCATGTGTAAGTACATGTAAGTAAATATTGTTAATCACAAATCTAGTAGTATTCACATAGCCTTAGTTCGCTCCCTGTTCATTATTATGAGAGTGCAACCTTTGTTGGCGGACAGGAATGACACATCAGTAGGTTTTCCAAGTAATTATTAATTGTCAAGTGGGTTACATCCTTACATACACGCATATTTATTTTTAGAATTTTTTGAATCATAAAAGTTTCAATTTGAAAATTTTAAAAATAAAGGTCTCCATGGAGCTCGGCCTCCAAAACACCTCTCTCGCTATTGTATGCACTATGAAGATGGTAGCATACAGTGGCGAAGCCTTGTTGAGAGGAGTGTGGTCAATTGACCACACGGGTTTTTGACAAATCCTTTGTACACAAGTAGAAATCATGTACTTTTTTCTATAAAATTGATGAAAACACATGTTTCTGACATCACAGATTTGAAATGACATCACAGACTTCTGATCCTGGCACCGCCGCTGGTATCATACACTAGATACTATATGATACACATATTT